TGCCTTTTTTTTTTTTTTTTTTGTAATGGTGGTAGTGGTATAGAGGGAATGTATGCTGACCTACTTAAGAGGTCCCTAAGGCTAGGGGTGGGAGGTGCAGAGGAGAATAATGAACAAACAAATGCTCTCATTTTTCACTTATGGAATCAATTTTGTTTTGGATGCTAATGTGCTGTCTTCATCTTCACACATATCCTTGTTGCTAGTTGATATGACCATCAACTCCTGACTCAAGTTCTGTGCGATAACTGTAAGCTGAAATCCTATGACTTTTACATACGTCATGGTGTCTAATAGTAAGGCGGGCTATTTCAGATGCGTTCTCTACATGATATGATGTGCAACATATGATTTTATGTGATGCCAAACAGCAATATAAACTCTTTTCCAAGGATCTATTGCCAGTAAACCCTATGATTTTAACTGAACAAACTTAAAAATGCAAGAAAGAAAGAAAAAAAAACCTATTGATAAGGACAAAAAAACCCAATGAAATAGATGACAATAAGAATAATACATAAAATTGACACTTCTGCCTTATGACCCACCCTCTGTCTCTTGCTTTTTCTCTTTTCTAATTAGTACAATATTTACATTTTTGAACAAAGATTGAGATTTTCTTTCTTTTATACCTTTCACATTTCTATAATATCAAGGTAGCCACTGAGCTATGAACAAAAATTCAGAAGATGAGTAATTATTTAGTGAAAGTACAGTGTATTAGGTAGAATCCAGTCACTACATTCATGTCAGTCATTTTCCAAAGCGTCAGGTGGTGTTTGCTTACTTGAGATTGCATGTTTTGCTTTGTTTTTTCTGTAGCTTAGACTGCCTTGAACTCACTATGTAGCCCAGGCTGGCCTTGAACTTGTGATGATCCTGCTGTCTCAAGTGCTGGTGTTATAGGTGTGCCATCATGCCCAGCTGGAAAGTATTTTTTTTTTTAGTCAAGGTCTTGCTGTATATTTCAGGCTGCCTCTAAACTAACTATATAGCCCAGGCTGGCCTTGAACTTGCAGCAACCTCCTTCCTCAGCCTCCCAAAGGCTGGGATTACAGGCATGTGCCACCATGCCCTGTGAGAGTATACTTTTGATAATTGTTTTAAACCACACTCTTGTAGCTCAATGTCCTGTGTTGAGTATCTACAGTATTTCTATTATTGCCCAAGAGAACTTGTTCAGTGACAACTTCCATACATATATATTATCATTATTATATATTATTATATTAGAATAAATTAAATTTATCAGAAATAAAGCCAAAGCATCTCAAAATATTGATTCCTAGACTATAATATTCAATTTATAAAATTCTGATTTAATTGTACCTCTACAGGAAGTTGTATAAAGGTGTCAGATTAGTTATATTTTGGGCTGCCAGAACAAGTATCAGACTTGATGGCTGGTTCCCAACATCAGAAATTCCTTCCTCACGGAGTTGGAATTGGAAGTCTGAGATCAGCGGCCCAGCATTGGGAGGGTCCCTTCTGGATTGCAGGCTGCTGACTTCCTATTGTGCCCTCATGCGGTAGAGAGAGGCTTACTGAGGTCTCTGAGGGGTGAGCCCAATTGTGACAGGTCAACCTTTGTGACATTATCACACCTCAAAGGGCCCTACCTCCTTATATCATCACCCTGGAGGTTAAATTTGGAACATTAGCATTTGGGGAGAGGATACAAACTTTCAATTTGTAGCATTCATTTATTTGAAGATCCTAGTGTAAGCTTCTTAGACCCTTAAATAGCAATGCTATATAATTGTAGAATCCTGTTATCAACAGCCTTGTGAGTTCTCTGGAAATCAGAGCTGCCCAGTAGGAATTAGTAAAGAGAAAGAGTTCGCTAGAAGCATCCAGGACACAGCTGCCAGCTACCCCAGATAGCCCAGCCCAGGGAATAATAACCAAGAATGCTGCCACATGGACAGGGCAGCCCTGTGGTTGGGGACAGTAAGATTGGAGATATTTTCTATAAAGTCTTGGTCTATGTATAAAGAGTGGTGTGGGCCAGGGAGATAGCTCAGCGGCATAAGTGCCTGCCTGGCAGGTGCAAGGTCCTGAGTTTGATCCCTAGTAAAAAAAAAAAAAAAGAGTGGTGTGACCACACAAAATATATATGCACGTGGTCAAGGATGCATGTATGATTTTGCACACAGTCCTATGTTGTGCCCGGCAGTCCTTTCTCCTCCCTTGGATGTCTCTCTTCCAATGGAAATTAAGGTCTTAGATATCTTAGGACAGATCTCTGGGGAAAATCAATTCACACCAACTCAGAATCTTCCATTTTTGTCTTAAGCAAAGATGAATGGTGACACATTTGAGAACATTCTATTTTGACCTCAAATAGTGGAGTGAGTGAGGTTGATACAACTGTTGTTTGCCATTACACCTTAGCTTCCGGCCATTAGTGCTGACCCTGTGTCTTAGTTACTCTTCTCTCATTGCTGGGACAAATAGCCAACACAAAATGAAGGAAGGAAAGGTTTATTGAGCTCACAGTTAGCGGAGGTTTCAGTCCATACTCAGCTGGCTCCAAGGCAGAGTGACTTATGGCACAACACAGCCTTTCATTCATGGAGGGGGCAAAGAGCAAAGAACAAAGGGAGAGCAGCAGCTGTGGTTTCTAGAATGCCTCTTGCCCTTCTTTATGTTGTAATGCAGATCACCTGCCCTGGGGCAGGTGCAACACCCACACCCACAATAATCAATCACAAACTCCAAAAGCCACACCATGACTGCATGAGGCTCTGGGGGGACAACTAGACATCAACCATAACATCCTATTTCTCCTTTCTTGTGAAGAAGAAGGTAGAGTAATATATGGTGCTTACTGAATAGCACACAGGGGCTGGGTATCACATACAGTAATTGATCCATATGTGTGATTAAAATCTGGCCATTTCATGTGCCACTCTGAGGGGCAACAAGAGTACGGTGGTTCTGCTTTCCTTTTCAGACCTCATTCTTGGGTCACAGTGCCAGTGGCATACTCTAGAGCTTGAGAGTTTGGCAAGGGGTGGGTGTCTGCCCTCAGCAGGGCAGAACAATGCTGAGAGATTTGAGGTAACTGCTACTTTGTGTGTGTGTTTGTGTGTGTGTGTGTTCATGTGCATGCATGCAAATGCATGCATATGCAAGGTCACTGGAGAAAGGAGCTGGAGACTGGAATTTGATACAGTCAACAACACCATACAGGTAATAAGGAAATCAAGGCTTTGATCACCTAAGGTGCCAAAGGACAAAATCATCACAGATACGAAGATCAAACTGGCTTTTATTTGTAGTTGTAGAATGAGCCAGTACTCCATTCTATAAAGTAAAATGAGTATCCTGATGAGCTGAGCATAGCTAATTTGCTTCATATGCGTAAAAGGGCTAAGGAAAGTAGACAGGCTGGGGAACTAGCTGAGCTGTCTAAGCACCTGCCTGGCAAGTGCAAGGACCCTGGTATGATCCCCAGAACTGCATGCTGTGCTGGGCCAGAAACTGCATGGTGGTGAACGCCTGTAATCCCAGCACTGGGGAGGCTGAGACAGGAGGATCACTATAAGTCTGAGTTGTCTAGTGAGACCCTATAGCAAAATAAATAAAAGATGATGATGATGAAGAAGAAGAAGAAGAAGAGGAGGAGGAGGAGGAGGGGGGAGGAGGAGGAAGAAGAAAAGAAGAAGAAGAAGAAGAAGAAGAAGAAGAAGAAGAAGAAGAAGAAGAAGAAGAAGAAGAAGAAGAAAGTAGAAATAGAAAATGGCACATTGGTCTTTTTGAAGTTACTTCCTTATAGGGTTAAAGCAGAGGGAACTTCCTCTGTATGCTGAGTCAGAAGGGGTGATGTTAGGAAATTTAGAAGTGTGTGAAGTAAAGAAAACAACACCTAAGACTTTCTCTTCTTATTCCCATTTGAAATTTTTCTTTATAGCATCTATTACCAATGCAAAAAATAATAAGGTGAAATACTAGAATGAAAAAGTCCTTTCGCATTAAGGGGGATGGGAACATGGTTCAGCAGCGTAGGAGGTCATGAGTTAGATTTCTGGAGAAGGAGGAAAAATAATGGCGGGGAATGGAGGAAGAGGAGGGGAAAAGGAGAAAGAGGAGGAGGAGGAGGAGAGGGGAGGAGGAGGAAGAGGGGGAGGAAGAAGAGGAAGAAATAATAATAATAGTAGAAGTAGTAGTAGTAATAATAATAATAATGTTGGGGGGCTGGTGGGATGGCTCGGTGGTCTGGAGCACCTACTTAGAACAAGCAAAGCTGAGCAAAGCACAGGGACCGCGGTTCGATCCCCCAGCACCACATGCCAGCCAGCCCTGCCCCCTGGTGGGCTGAGCTGCCCCCCCCA